GGAGCTGAGGGGTTTCACACCCCCATCTCCCCAGGAGGTGGGCACGGGGAAGCTCTACAGACAGGGAAGGGTCCCAGATGAACAGGAATAAAACTGTCTCCTCCTATTGCTCACACACCATTGATGCCCCACTGCTCATTCTGCCCGGTGACTCATTTGGTGGCTGTCCGCTTCCCCATGTGGGCTGTAGTGTTTTTCCTGGCAAGGATCATGCTGCAGCCTCAGCACACAGTGTGTTCCTTGCGCACAGTGGGTACTCTGCAAACCTAGCACGGTGGAAAGAGCTTGGGCTGTGCAGGTAGAGGCAGCAGAGCAGCTGGGTCTCGGCCAGCTGTGCCTCTTCTAGCTGTATGGCCGGAAACGCACCTCGTCTCAGGCTTTGGTTAACTCATCTGTGAATAGGGATAGCCCACTGCTTAGAAAGCTACAGGGGTCACTGTGTTCAGTGCCCAGCACATCCCAGCAAGGGCTTGATGAACGGAAGCATGTCGCTGACAACTCTTAGTGGCATTCACTGGATTAAACTACGGTGGAGGTGCTGGAGGGCTCTGGGGGGGACCCAGGAGTGAGGGACCCCAGGGAAGGGAAAAACCACCTTGGATTTCTCCCCCAGGGTCTGGCCAGGCTCAGAGTAAACAATCTGAGTAAATCACTGGTTCTGGCCAACCACCTGCAAGCCCCTGCCCTAGCCCCCGCGGCCCCATGACCCTGGCCCTTTGCCAGGCTAAGTTTAGCTGTGACCTGCACGGGCTGCCCTGCTCTGTGGGCAGGGGCCGGGTGGAGAGGAACTCAGCAGGCTTCCTGCCGGCTTCCTGGCAAGCAGATAGGCCCTGCCCTCTGAGTGACCCGGGTTTATTTTCAAAGCCAAACCCACCCACTGGATATTTCAGATCACGTATGTGGGGCAGCCTCTTACTAGTAAAGATTAGAGCTTTGGGCCAAGGTGGAGGGGGACATCCTTAAATTGGAGGAAAGGGGTCCTTTGGGAAGGAGAGAGAGAGAGAGAGAGAGAGAGAGAGAGAGAGAGAGAGAGAGAGAGAGAGAGAGAGGTTTTGTGAGAAGCTCCCAGCTACTTGTCCTATCCCCATAGTCTCCGAAATTCTAACTGCCCAGATTCTTTCCACTCATATTTTTGTCCCCATGGCCCCAGGGCAGTGTTCCCAGTGACTTGGTTTGGGGAGGGGAAGGAGCGAAGGCTTCAAACTCACCACAACTAGTAGGCACTGAGTGGCAGCGCCAGCCTGTGTAGAGGTTAACAAGGAACAGAATGATTGCTGGGATCCCCTCTGATCCCTGGGAGGGCGTTGATGGTTTAAGTGCGGAGTGAGTCAGCGGGAACTCTGCCTCCAGGAGGATCCAAGGCTCAGCAGGCTTCTCCCCTTTGCTGGGGGACAAGGTGGACCAAATGGTGTGCCAGGAACAGCCATCCCCAGGCAGTGTTTGTGCTTTCAGAGCACTTTTGAGCGTGTATTCCTCCACGCCCTGGGTCTTGGGCAGGGCTGGTGCGCTTAACAAGTGACAAGTAGGCCTATGGAGGCCCAGATGGGAAGGGCCGATGCTGTCAGGTACCTCCCCTTGGCAGCGCATCTGCTAAGCGCTTGAGATGCATTGATATGCATTATCTCGCTTATTAACTCCATCTCCCTGTGAAGGAGGGATTGCTGCAGAGGAGCCCAGAGAAGCCAAGTGACTGCCCAAGGCCACTCAAGGTTCAAGGTTCAAGCCCTGGCAGAGTCAAGGTTCAAGCCTGGCCCCTCTGCTTCTACCGCTCGTGCTCCTCCCACTGTTCCCCTTGAGAAGGCAGGGCGGGGTGAGGATGAGCTCCCGACTCCGCCCCGCAGGGCGGAGTTATCCCTAGCCCTCACCCAACCAATCAGGATTAGCCGAGGCAGTGACATCACCATCGACCTGAGTAAAACCCCTAGACTGGAAGAAATTCTCGCTCTTCTGCCATGCTGCCAGCGTGAGTGGGAGGGCCCATGCTAGCATGGTAAAGGCTCTTTTGTTTATTGCATCGGACTCGGCTCCCTGGTGGTCCTTGGGGATCATGAAGTCTGGGCGTAACACCCCTCAGGCTCCTGTTCAGGTCTTGTTTGTGACCCTGCTTTTCACAGTGTTATTATGGGCTGCCTGCCAGAGCTCCTTGGAGGGGCATCTGTATGGCCCATTCCATCGTGAACCCCTGTGGGAAGGTTCATCTGCTCTTCCCATCCCATCCCAACTCCCCCTTTACAAGAAAACTTGCTCAGAGGCAAGCATTTTGCTAAGTGCTTTATGTGAATTCTCTCAATCAGGCTTTACTGTAGATATAATATCCCATTTTATAGATGAAAAGATTGAGTTTCTGAGAAGTTCAATGATTTGTCCAAGGTCACATATGTAGTAGGTGCACGTGGTGGGTGCTGACCTAGTCTGTCTCCTCCAGAGTCCTTCCTGTTACCCCCTCATCCACGGAGTCCATTGCTCCAGTGGGTTTGGAGTTGTGAACCTTGCTTCCCCAGGACAAGGTGACCCATATAGCCCTCTATCCTCCTGCAAACACCAACACAGGGAGCCCTGTGGAAGCTTCGGGTAGAGAGGACTTCCTAGTCAGGGCTTGGCGATGGCACCACTCCCCAGCTGGTGGCACCCTATCCTGAGTTGATCTGGAAACCAACCTCCTGGGTTGGGAGTTGCCAAGGGCTATTACTGTGACTTGTCAGGACCTGCTGTGCCCAAAGGTGTATGACTAAAGGGGAATTCACATTATCTCCTCACTGGCTGCTGCCTGGTATTCTAGCATTAATACTCCCTTATCTTAAAACTCGATTCACATGAATCCGCCGGTCTCGTGGCTTTGCTTTGGACCTTCCATTGAGGTTTCTCTAATGTAGAAACCAGGGCTGATCTCAATTACTTAACAAGCTGCTCCTTGTCTGGGTTCAGAAAAGCTGGCTAACTGCCCCCCTGTCCCCTTCCACTGTGACTTCCTCCACTTTCTCTGGTCCTCTACTTCCTCCTCAAGTGGAAACAACCTGTTTGCTTCCTGCTGAAACATCCAGCTGTGTACAGCGTGGAGTCACATCTGGGCAGCAACTCAGGTCATTTACATCCTGACCCTGCCAGTAGGAATTGCAGAGGGATCTTAACTTGGTGACAGATAACCTGCTTCTTGGCACCATTAGGGTAAGAACCAAAACAGGTGGTTTCCGGGGTGCAAATTCAAGATGAGAGAACGGATTCAGACACCTCGAAGAAGCTTCTATCAGCATGTGTTGGCATGCACCAGGGGTGCGGTGGGAGGAGCTCTCTGCATTCTCTTTGTTGTTCAACAAGGATCTCATTTGGCCATGTGCTCTCCTAGCTGGGGTCTCGGGCAGGAAGGACAGCCGGGCAAGTGTGAAAAAGGCCCATTGTCATTACCCAAGTGTTCTGCTGAGAGAAAAGAAGGCCTTACGTAAGGCCTACACTGTAAGACAATGCTTCTCAGGCTTTCATGTGGACGGGCGATTAAAATGCAGATTGTGGTTCAATAGGTCTGGGGTGTGGCTGAGATTTGCACTTGGCACAGACTCCCAGGAGATATTGCAGCTGCTGAGTGCGAATGGTGATGAAAGGGTTACCCTTCCCCAAAAGTCCCTTGAGATAATAAATAAGTAAAAATTCATTTATCCTAGAGGAACGGAGTGTCCCCTTTACGTTCAGATGACTCACGGTAGGAAAACCAATGACATGTGTCTCTAAGATTATCCTGGGAAAAACCCAAATTTGGGGTGGGTCTTGCAGATCAGAAGCGTTTGCAGTAGGGAAAGATAAGGGCTCAAAACTGCTGCAGAAGCATAGCTGTTCAATGAAAATACCGTGTGCACCATTCACTGTGCTGTGTGTGCCGTCTGCATGGATCACCACATCCATCAATGCAGTGACGACTCTGGGTGCTATGCTTCCCTGCTGTACAGTAAGGAAACGGGCTCAGAGATGTGGGTTAACATGCCCAATACCACCCAGCCAATCAATGACAGGGCTGGCTTTGGAACCCAGCCCTCGTATCCACTGGGCTTTACTGCATTGAGGAAAGATGCATTGCCACACAGCATTCGTTTGGGGAAGAAAGGGGTATCTTATTGAAGACTATTTGAGTTTCAAGTGATAGAAAAACAGCTCAAAACAACTTTGTCATAAAGGGAGTTTATATGATTTAAAAGCCAGAGGCGCCGAAACCGGTTTGGCTCAGTGGATAGAGCATCAGCCTGTGACTGAAAGGTCCCAGGTTCGATTCCGCTCAAGGGCATGTACCTTGGTTGCAGGCACATCCCCGGTGGGGGGAGGGGGGGGTGCAAGAGGCAGCTGGTCGATGATTCTCTCTCATCGATGTTTTTAACTCTATCCTTCTCTCTTCCTCTCTGGAAAAAATAAATAAAATACATATTTTTTTTTAAATAAAAAATAAAAGCCAGAGGCAATGGCTTCAGGCAGAGCCGGATCCAGGGGCCCACTCTCCTCTATGTTGGCATCTTAGATAGACCCTGCTTTGAGTAGCTAGGAGCCAACAGCATGCATAATCCTGTTCCCCTACCTCCGTCTCCCATTGACCCGGATGGAGTCATGTTCAGTCCTGAACTAATCACGTGATGGGGGTGGGGCCTAGTCTCAGGCCTGGTGATAGGCACCCCTGGAGCTGGGGGTATTTATTCCCACCCAAGTCATAAGGACTGAGCTGTAAAGAGTTGGTTCCCAGGGAAAGTGGGGTGCCGCTACCAGAAAGAGGACTGTCTGGGCAAACAGCAGAAGTCCATCCCAGTGGGTCATTCAGTCAGCATTGCTGGGGTGGGTCAGTGCGGTGGCTGTTCTCCAGGTCGGCCTGGAACACCGAGGAGATGGTGGGTAGGGTGCAGGGAGAACTGTAGGACATTCTCACATCAGCAGGGCAGAGGTTGGTGGGAGGATCCAGGGAGGAAGCGGTGTGGAGGGAAGCTTGGTGTGATGGTCGGTCTTTTTCTGTTTCCAGGAAAGCTGCCACCATGGCGCTGGGGCTCTTCCGGGTGTGCCTCGTGGTGGTCACGGCCATCATCAACCACCCACTGCTGTTCCCGCGGGAGAACGCCACGGTCCCCGAGAACGAGGAGGACATCATCCGCAAGATGCAGGTGCTGGAGGAGAAGCTGCATCTGGAGCAGCTGCGCCTGGAGGAGGAGGTGGCGCAGCTGGCCGCCCAGAAGGAGGCCCTGGAGCGGGTGGCCGAGGAGGCCCAGCAGCAGAACGAGAGCCGCACGGCCTGGGACCTGTGGAGCACCCTCTGCATGATCCTCTTCCTGGTGATCGAGGTTTGGCGGCAGGACCACCAGGACGGGCCCTCGCCCGAGTGCCTGGGCGGGGACGAGGACGAGCTGCCCAGCCTGGAGGGTGCCCCGCTCCGAGGCCTCATCCTGCCCAACAAGGCCACGCTGGACCACTTTTACGAGCGCTGCATCCGGGGGGCCACGGCGGACGCCGCCCGCACCCGGGAGTTTGTGGAAGGCTTTGTGGATGACCTGCTGGAAGCCCTGAGGAGCCTGTGCAACCGGGACAGGGACATGGAGGTGGAGGACTTCATCGGCGTGGACAGCATGTACGAGAACTGGCAGGTGGACAAGCCGCTGCTGTGCCACCTTTTTGTGCCCTTCATCCCCCCTGAGCCCTACCACTTCCGCCCAGAGCTCTGGTGCTCCAGCCGCTCGGTGCCCTTGAATCGCCAGGGCTATGGCCAGATCAAGGTGGTCCGGGCAGACGAGGACACGCTGGGCTGTATCTGTGGCAAGACGAAGCTCGGGGAAGACCTGCTGTGTCTCCTCCATGGCAAGAACCACTTGGCACAGCCCACCAGCGAGGCGGAAGACCCCCTGTGTGCCAGAGGCTCCCCGTACCTGGACACGATGCAGGTCATGAAGTGGTTCCAGGTGGCCCTCACCAGAGCCTGGCACCGCATCGCCCACAAGTACGAGTTCGACCTGGCCTTTGGCCAGCTGGACACCCCGGGGTCCCTCAGGATCAGGTTCCGCTCGGGGAAGTTCATGCCCTTCCACCTGATTCCTGTGATCCAGTGTGACGACTCGGACCTGTACTTCATCTCCCACCTTCCCAGGGAGCCCTGTGGGGGGGACCCGGCCTCCAGCACGGACTGGCTCCTGTCCTTTGCCGTCTACGAGCGGCACTTCCTCCGGATGACGTCGAAGGCACTGCCCGAGGGCGCCTGCCACCTCAGCTGCTTGCAGATCGCCTCCTTCCTGCTGTCCAAGCAGCGCCGCCTGACCGGCCCCAGCGGGCTGGGCGACTACCACCTGAAGACGGCACTGCTGCACCTCCTGCTCTCCCGGCGGCCCGCCGACTGGAAGGCCGGGCAGCTGGACGCCCGTCTGCGTGAGCTGCTCTGCTTCCTGGAGAAGAGCCTGCTGGAGAAGAAGCTCCATCACTTCTTCATCGGCAACCGCAAGGCGCCCGAGGCCCTGGGACTCCCTGAGGCCGTGCGCAGGGCCGAGCCCCTCAACCTCTTCCGGCCCTTCGTCCTGCAGCGGAGCCTCTACCGGGAGACCGTGGACTCCTTCTACGAGATGCTCAAGAACGCCCCGGCGCTCATCAGCGAGTACTCCCTGCACATCCCCTCGGACCACGCGAACCTGCCCCCGAAAGCTGTCATCCGGTAGAGCAGCCGGAACCCGGAGGACCGAGATGCAGGACATCCCACGTGTCCACACCCCCAGGGGCATCCGCAGGCCCTGTCCTGGGAAGACGGCGGGCGGCCCTGTCCTGGGGGAGGAATAGAATTCCAAGCTGGAAGCCAGTTTGCTTTCATGCCATCGGGGCCTGCTGGTGACGCTGCTCTCTGGGTTTAGGGACTGAGCCTTTGCAGCTTGCTTTTGGGTCATCGCGAATGGCCGAGATGAGGACAGAACACTCTATGGACGTGGACTTAGAGATAATGCAGCATCAGGTTGGGTGTAATTCTCTTTACATCCCAGGTCCAGCCTTTACTTAAGTATCCACAGAGGATGGAGGGAATGCTGATGGGGTTTGTGTTTCCAGGATCCTTTGGCCCCAGGCATCTAGTAGGGACAGATACGGGAATTCACCACCTTCCATCCACGTCCTGCACGGCCTGTGACTGCCATTTTTTATATTATTCGGCAAAAAGACCTAGTAGAGATGCAAGGCCCCGAGTAGCTAATGTCCCCATTGCACAGAAGTGGGTACTTGGGGGCAGAAAGAAGTTCATTTTGCTACTTTTCAGCTGCATGTCTTATCCAGGGTACACACCCTTCTCTCTGCCCCTTTCCCCCAGCGTGCTGTGCCCCAAGCACCATGGGCACCGCATACCATGCTAGGTACCAGCTCAGTGGCCCCTCACCCCTCTTTGTTCTCCCCACAGCTAGTGGAGGAGGGCAGGCACTAAAGGTAGACGATGATAGAGAAAGAGGGGCACAGGATGCCTGGGGTGAAGGCCAGCCTGGCATCCAGGGTGCTAGGATCTGGCTTGCAGTCTGGCTTCTGATGCCCAGTCCAGGGAAAGTTGCAGAGCTGAGAGGTGAGGATGCCATAGCCCTGAGTCCTCCTGGGAGCAGGAGCTGCTGTGGAAACCCAGCTCCCAGGCCCAAGACCCCCTAAGACTCCCTCATTATCCTTTCTGGGAGGGACTTGCTGGCTGCACAGACGACTGACACCCTGAGAATCCAACAGGGGCTGGGCTGACTGGAAATACCCAGACAGCACTGCGGGCACAGCCCCAGGCCTCAGAGAGGCCACCTCGGCATGCTGAGGGCACCACAGCCTGCGGTTGGAGCTGGCCTCTGTCTGCAGGCCTGGTTCAGGAGGGTTGGGAAGCCATTCCTCCTCCACTTGTGGCTTCACTGGTCCTTTGGGATTTCCTCTCTTGGCATCGCCTCATTAACCCTTGCAGGGAGCGAAGGAGGAGGCAGGAATGTGTGTGCCTTCACCAGCACCTGGTTCTCCCTCCAGGGTGAAAGCTGGCTATGCCTCCCAGACAGCAGACCCAGTTCCACGGGGTATCGGGTTCACCACGAACTGAGGAGAGGATATTGTCCCTGCCCCAGGAGCGCTCTCACCTGGCCTCAGAGTGCTCATGATGGACAGTTTGCTCGACAGGGTTAATGGAGCCGGGAGGCTCAGCCACAATGGGGCATTGAAGTCTGTGGGAAGCCTTCCATGTGAGCTGGAGTTAGACAGAGCAGTGCTTGCATCTGCCCTCCCCAGGCCCTCTGTGGCTGGGACCAAACCTACCCACGTGGTCTCCAACAATAGCCCACACCCCTCATTCTACTGGGATTCATTTCCAGAATCAGGGTGAATTTCCTTATTTATTATCCCCTGTGCTTTCCCCCACCCCCTTCATCTTCATCTTGTGCTTGGAGGAGACCCCGCCAACCAAGAACTCCCTTGGCTTCCCCTTTGCTTCCAAGAGAACATTCACTGAAGAAGAAAAAAAATAAAATATCTTGTTTATACAAAGAAGACAGAACTCAGCGGGGAAATGGGGCTCTTTTATCCACCAAAGCAGCTTCTGAAGCAGAAAGCAGCAAGGGTCTTGGTGTTTCTTGCTGCCTTATTTATATTCATGGAAGAATTAAATTCTTGCAAGGAGTAGAAACTGGTCAGTGTTTGTTTTTTACTTCTGGAAATCTGAGAGGTTCCCAGGGCAGAGTTGGAAAAGGGGGTGAAATTTGGTGGGTTTTCTATTGACTAACAGAAGCTTTCACTCTTTTTTTTAATTCTTATGCTTTCAGGAAACTTTTTTTAAAAAAAATAGCAAAATAGCTTGGCCCATGTGCTCAGTGATTGAGCATCCACCTATGAACCAGAAGGCCACAGTTTGATTCCTGGTCAGGGTACAAGCCTCATTGCAAGCTCAATCCCCAGTAGTACAGGAGGCTGATTAATGATTCTTATCATTAATGTTTCTCTCTCTCTAACCCTCTCCCTTTCTAAAATCAATAAAAATATATATTAAAATAATAGCAAAATAGAACATTTATAGCCCATCTATGAGGCAGCCTGCAGTTGCAGAAAGGGCCTTAAGTAGTTGGTTGCAATGTAGAGTGTAGCCCAACACCTTAGTTGACACAGCTTGATGTGTACAAAAAAATATGTGGGAATGGGAAGCTTTTGGTTTTCAAAGACAGATTGTCTTAGATGGGCGAGTTTTAACCTTTTAGGACACTTTGGCCTTCCCACTGAGGATCACTGTGCTGTCTTCTGCCGAGGAATCCTTTTCCTTCCCTAGGATTCGTGGCTTTACCCAGCATCTGCTCGCTTGCTGGCCAGAATGCTCCGGGGCTGCATTTTGCTGAGCCTCTTGACAAGGCTGAAGTGAGTAGGGTCAGCCCAGGGCCCAGAGGTTGGTTAGGTTGGGGTGGGCCTTACATCCTCAAAAACCTCATCCCCAGCTTCTGCCTTGCTGAGGCACAGCCCAGGTTGAGAACTTGGAACCAGCACTTCAGTCCATAATCGAGGTCACCAGAAACACCTGCAGAGCATGGTCAAATGCCCACACCCCACCCTGAACCTACATGGTACTCATGCAAGGCTTTATCTCTAAAGCTCCCTCCAGTGACTGATGACATCCCGAGTTGAAGATGGCTTTTTACATCGTGGCCTGCTTTCCCTGCAGAGCTGTAGGAAAAAGCCAACCGGCCTGCTTGGGATCAGCTACACCACAGCTTCCCACGAGTGCCCCACATGCACACCAGTAATAAGAGCAGCAGAGAGATGGTGGGGGAGGGAAAAGTTGGTGAGCACTTCTTTCTAGCAGGTCATTAATAGTCTACAAGCATTTATTGGGAGCCTGATATACGAGGCATTATGAATGAGAAAAATAAATATTATAGGACCAAGCCTGTGCCCTGGGGAGGACGGTAAGGTGGCCTCTCAAATCCTCATTGAAAGAGGCCGTTAAGAAACGGCAATGTGCTGCTGCTGGTGGAGTCGAAGGGGAAGCCCAGGTACGGCCTGCCTCCCCCGGGTGGCCCCAACCTGCCCACCTGGTGGTCGCCCCTGGGCAGTGTCTGGGCCATGCCACAGGCTTCAGAGGAATCTTTAGGAGTCAGGCTCAGGAATCTGCATTTGCAAAGTTCCCAGGTGCTTGTGAACCATTGCTAACCTGGAGGGATTAGGGCAGGTCTCATGGTAGGGTGCTGCCTGATACAGCTTCTCAAAGCCGGACCACACTGGCCAAGAAAAGCATTCTAACCCGCCAGGAGGATGATTGAGGGTGGGAAAGCAAAATAGATGTAGGCAACATTTAAGTAGCAGCTACCGTGTGCCAGGCACACTTCTATGTGCCTTCATGTAGTCATTTAATTCCTATGTCAACCCTATGATGTGGGTGCTGTTTTGTCCAGATGAGGAAACAGGCACAGAAGTGTCTAGTCCAAAGTCACATAGTGGTAAGCAACGTTAGGGTTGGAACCCAGGCAATGCTGAAATCTGTGCTGATATGTACTGAGAAATAAGTTTTTAATTGTTGAGTAGGGTTGACCTTAGAAAGCCCTGAATGCTAGGTTAAGGTAAAATTGAACTTGATACACGAAGTCATTTCATAATAAGATTTGGGCTTAATACAATGGCGAGCTATTGGGGATTTTTGAATGAGACAGCAACTTGATTCACCCCAAAATACGAATCCCTGAACTATGAGATCCTCGCTGTTCAGTGCCAGGGGGTTCGTGGCTGGCTTCCAGAGTGGCAGCAGTCAGTGAATGTCCCAGAGGTCCTCACTTCAGTCACTGAAGATTGTGGTTCAGAACGTTCTCATGCTCCGTCCCTTCAACTCCTGGAACAGAGCTGGAAGGTTGTTTGGTTTGGCCAGCAGACCGCAAACAGAGAGAGCCAAGAACCACACAGCAAAGGAAATGTGTGCCTCAAACTCCTTCAACTCGTCTCATCCCCTCCCTCATCACCCTCCTCTGCCTGGACGCACTCTATCACCCTGAAGGGCACTTTTTAGAGTTAATTCTTCTCATTGCCACCCAAAGATGGCTTGTTTATTAACTTTTTAAAAAATAAAAACAATGCAATCATGATTAAAAAAAAATTGTCAACCACTGACAGGAAATTTAACACATAAAAGCTTACCCTCCTGACTCCAGTCCATTCCTGGATGAGGCTTCTTGTATATACTTCCAAATTTTTTTCTGTGCGTGGATACATCCCTTTTGTTCTTGTTTACATAAATTGCATCATACCATCTAACTTTTTTTTGGATATCTTTCATGAACATTTGACTCTATTATTTTCTTAAAATAGCTGCTTACTATCTCCCTGTATATATGGATGGTCTCTAATTTACCCAACTTCCTCTGCTGAGGAACACTTAAGTGCCCCCTGTCCTATTTTTTTTTTTCCTATTGTAAACAACATTGCAGTGAATACTGCCCATAAAGCTGGCTTTAAGGGATTCTTCCTCTCCTGGTAATTTCTATGCATATTCTGTACTCAACTACATACTGTGTATGGATTCTCCACCAAGCATTTGACCATAAAAATAAACAATTGCCTGGGATTTATTCAATCATCATGACACCAGAATAAAAAAATTTAAAAAAGGCATTTTTTAACTAAATACAGCTTGTGTTCTACCCTGCGTCATGCCCCATGTGGGCAACAAAAGTTTAAGGCAAGGGCTGTGTCCCTAATAAACTGGGTCTATTGGGAAGACAAGACCTATGGTCACAAAAATAAGAGAAGATATGTACCAATTATTAAAATTGGTTATCTCTGAGACAGGAGAAGCAACACCTCCTATTCTTTTTCATTGAATTTTTATTACCCTGATACATTTCTGCCCCTCTCCCAGTAAAATAAGTGGTATTTTAGAAAGCTCCTCATGCCCAGCCGGTGTAGCTCATCAGTTGAGTGTTGACCTATGAACCAGATGGTCACAGTTCAATTCCCTGTCAGGGCACATGCCCGGGTTATGGGCTTGATCCACAGTGAGGAGCATGCAGGAAACAGCCCATCAATGATTCTCCCCCATCATTGATGTCTCTCTCTCCTCATTTCTCAGAAATCAATAAAAAAAATTTAAAAACTCTTCATGGAACATTAATTTCCTCTTTTCTCTGGGCTAAATCCTATTATAGTTTCATGCAGAGGTTAACAACTCAGATCCTTTTGTGGGTCAGATGGGTGGCATTAAAAAAAACGAGAGAGAGGGAGAGAGAGAGAGAGAGACACTGAGAGAAAGTGGAAGGTGGAAGTCAGTGTAGGTGACCCTGGCAAAATGCAGAGCACAGCTGGCAGAAAGGCATTCAAATCCCAAACTGGGCTGTGGGCTGCCGGCCTGCAGCCTTTCCCACAAGCACTCTCCTCCATGTTTTATTTCGTGGTGCTTCAAGCTCCTAAATTAGTATGTGGAGCCCCAACAGAGAACATCTTTGGTTTTGGCCATCAGAGACATGCCATTATCTGTTGTGCTGATAGTAATTTCGGTCCCATGCTAACCACTCACCAGCACATGGCATTAATACCTACAGGGACCAATCCATCCCCATATCCTTGGAAAGGCCACAGAAGCCAAGCACAGATCCCAGGAAAATGTGACTCAAAGACGTCACTCTGCATTGGCTTGGCTGCCATGGCAACAGGGCATCCCATCCTGAGAAGTTGGTGCAGCAGATGGCCCCTGTCATGTGGCGCCTGCAATGGCAGACTAGGCCACCTCACTGAGCGGGATTGCTTCTGTCCAACTGGCACGGAGTCACACTGGTAACTATTTACATGAGTCAAAATACACCCCGAGGCAGCAGATGGCCAGGCCAGGCTGAGACGTGGGGAGAGATGAGGCCGGTTTGGGCTGAGTCAGAGGCAAGGGCAGCAGACAGTTCCTCTGTGGACAGTTCACAACATCACTCCTGGTGCTGCCTGGTCTCTTAGCCTGGCTGGAGGCTGGGGGAAAGTTAGGCTGAAAGGATCATAGGCTGATCCCTAGACCCTGAGACAAGATGACATTGGACAGGCCCGCCCCACACCTAAGACACCTGCTGGCACACCGGGCCATTCTTCTGGTGTCTCTGTCACCTTCAGTGGTCCGAGCTGGCATATCAGGCTGAGACCGGCATTCCCATAGCAAGACAGGCAGCTCCAAAACAAGAGGTCTAACACCCCAACCAAAACGAGTGGCGGGACCTGGGGCTCCCATGTCTTTGTCACCTTTGTCATCTTATCACGCAGCTGTCCCGGGGTTTGGTACACAACAGGCAACGGGAGGTGTTGGTTGCAATGAATTGAAAGAGCGTGTGACGCAAATCCAACAGAGTGACCTTTGCCTGGGACGGGGTTTAGGGTGTGTGTATTTTTTTAAGACAGGATGTTGGCTACAGAACATTTTGTGAGCCATCACGATCCCCGACAGCACTGGTAAAATCCTGACGTCCTTAGTCCAGGGTGATAACGGGTGTCTCATTTCCTGCTTTGGAATTCTCTCAGTCATGGGACCCTCGATGTCTCCCAGGCCCACAGCCAAAATGTGGACGACAATGATACGCATGCTCACCCACGTGGGCTGCCGCTTTTGTTTGCCAAGTGGAGACTATTTGGATTTGGAAGTGTTTTCTTCTTCCTTTTCCTCTCTACCTTCCCTCCCCCCGGGGAGGTTGTCTATAGTGACAAATATCCATGATGGGTAGGCCTTAAACATCAACATCAGCATCCATAATCTGGAGGTCAAAAAGGGGCCAAAGGTCAAGGAGCCAGGACACACACGGGCTCCTAACATGTGCCCTGGGGACTGGATCTCTAGACAATCCTTAGCAGCTTTGGGCTCGAGGAGTCAGACAGTGATTACCAGAAAGAATACCTTTTCTGTCTCCATGTTTATTAGGAACCTCAAAGAAAAAAAAATAACCAGAGATTGATTGACCCACCCAAACAACTCCTGGTACAGTGTCAGACATGCTTGGGAGTTCTGGGTGGTGAAGGGGTGGACCATGGGGCTCAGCAATTCAGCCCATAGTCAAAGGCATCGGGGTGGTTCTGAAAATAGAGATTCAAGAAGCCCAGGAAAATGTTCTTATCTATGAGAAGAGCACACACCGTGGGGTCCTGCTTCATAGCATCTATCCAGAGCCGAAGAGCTGGGGTGTGGTTCACGCAGCTGCAGGACAGGAAAGAAGTGTTAGCTCACCAGAAAAGGAAGGCATCAGGGAAAATGGCACGTGTCACTCACTCTTTAGATACCAAAAAATGGTTTTCTTTGGGCAATAGTCATCTTAGTTACCTATGATCAACTGAGCTTGATCATTTACTGAAGGAAAACCTTGTTTTTGGAATACCTGTGTGTGCTTTTGAATTGTGTAAGGTGCTACTGATTTTAACAAAACAGTTCAAATACTTGTGGGCTGATCGCTCTGGGGAAATAAGGTGCCCATGCCTCGCTGGTTATCAACAGGAAGACAACCCTCTCTCTGAAAGAGATATTCTTCTGTCATTCTCAGAGCTTATGTTAGTGGGTTTGGAAAAAATAAAAACAAGTCATAAAAACAAGTGTTCCAAAACACTTAAAAAAAAAAAAAAAAAAAGTAGCCAAAACCGGTTTGGCTCAGTGGTAGAGCGTCGGTCTGTGGACTGAAGGGTCCCGGGTTCGATTCCGGTCAGGGGCATGTACGTTGGGTAGGGGGTGTGCAAGAGGCAGCTGGTCGATGTTTCTTTCTCATCGACGTTTCTAGCTCTCTATCTCTCTCCCTTCCTCTCTGTAAAAAATCAATAAAATATATTTAAAAAAAAAAGTAAAAACAATCATCAAACTTTGAAATAATGAAGCTGATTGGGCTCTATTATTTCAAAGGTCAGAAGTTTAGGTCTAGAATATGTCCAGTGACTCGTTCATGATAGTACAACCTATTTGTGGGACATTTGTGGTTCAATACTCTGTCCCCAGAGAAGACAGGTTTTTCATGATGTTTGTGTTGAAACAGAGTTTAAAATACCTGAGTATGTTCTATCTGATCTTCGCTCAGAGACAGCAAATGGGGAAGTGCAGATGACTCCTGGGTAGAGTCAAGCCTGCAAATAATGGGGCAGGACCCACACAGCTCTGGCGGGGCAGGACCGGATTCCCAAATGTCGTCCAGCACCCACCATGCAACTGGCTGGGATTAGAGAGGTGCAGGCACTTCTCCTCCAAGCATTATGACAACAAAGCACCTGTTCTGCCAGGGCCCCTACACAACCCCCCCACCCCCAGGCAATTTCTTCTACTTTGTACAACCCTACACTTCCATGGTGGCTATTTCATTTGTTTGTTTTAAAGTCAAGTATCTACTGCTTTTAAAATTGGTGGTTTTGTTTTGTTTTGTTTTGTTTTTTGTTTTGTTTTGTTTTATTTTGTTTTTAGGATTCCTATCTGGGGAAGATGCCTCAGAGAACTAAATGTGCTTAAAGTGTAGAGTGGGCACTGGATTTCTAGACAATCCTTAGGAGGATTATCTCAGCAGGTCCAGGAGCAGAGTCACTGAGGGAGCTGCAGACAAGTCTCCAAAACCCGGTGATTAAGACTCACCAACTGCTTACACCCCTGGCCTGAGTTCAGATGGGCTGTTGAGGACAGTAGCTCTGAGGTACCACAGGGTCTTAGCAGAAATATGGGGGAAGTTTGGGTCCCCAGAGAGTGGCTGAAGAACACAGGTGTATTTTAAACAAGGAAACAGTTTAAAACCTGATTTCATTTCACACGAAACTCGTCCGAAGGAGGATAAATGGCACACACGCCATTTCAACCACTGTTGCCCAGTCCGACCCCAGAAATTCATGACCAAGCGGTCAAATGTCTTACTCAGCTATTCCATATACATCCAGCCGCTCAAACCAGGGCCAAAAGAGGTAATCAATCATGGATATACAGTCTCCGCCAAAGAAGACGGTGTTCTGATAGCTAAGAATCTAAAAGTTTAAACAGAACAAAAGCAAGTTAATTTGCTCACCTGCTGACATAGTTATAGACACTAAATACAAATATCAAATTAGTTCCCACAGAGGGAGAACTTAGGCTTTGATTCTCCTTCTGATTTGTTAGGTAAGTGCTTCCTCTCTTTTTCTGAGGTTTCTTCCACCATGTTTAGGGTAATACTCTGGCCACACTCAGTCCCCACCCTCCTTTGAACTGAGAGGGTGTGGCTACTCTGATTGGAGAATTTGGAGGACAATCCAGGCTGAGGGAGCCCCACCCCTCTCCCTTAGCCTGGAGCAGGCTCCTCTCAGTGCTATGCCGGTAGGGAGGGGAGGCTCTGTGTCAGGCCAGTGCAGCCCAATGCTGGGATGGAGGAGGGCCACATTGGGAACCTCACTTGCTGCAGTTGTGAACCCCGACTCTCCAGGATTCACTTTATCTGTAAGAAAGGGGATACTGTATCTCCATGTGCCTTCCTCTTTTGCTTTCTTTCTTAAAAAAAAAAAAAAAAAAAATACTTTTATTGATTTCAGACAGGAAGGAAGAGGGAGAAATAGAAACATCAATAATGAGAGAAAATCATTGATCAGCTGCCTCCTGCATGTCCCCTATTGGGGATTAAGTCTGAAACCCAAGCATGTATCCTAACCAGGAATTGAATCATGACCTCCTGGTTCATAGGTCAATGCTCATCCACTGAGCTGGACAAGAAAGAGCAGTGTTACTTAATGGACTTCTTCTATTCCCACCATTGTCTTTTTATCATATTTTCTTTTTTATTTCAGTTCTTTGAACCTCACACTTGTTGGCCACTCAACATTATCAATTTTTTACATTAAAATAAAATTTCCCTTTCCCAAATGGGGCAAATAAATCCAGATAGAAAGCAGATAAACTCTTAACAGACAGCCTACGTCAAAATAAATAAATAAAAGCACCTGAAAATTTAAAAAGCAAAGTACTTAGCAGAGATTATTGTTGGGCCAGGTTTTCCCAGAAAGGTATGGTGTCAATTACCTAGCTAAATCAGATGACTTTGACCCATTTAACTCATAATCAACTAAATTCTCCCTTGTAGCCAAAACCGGTTTGGCTCAGTTGTAGAGCATCGGTCTGCGGACTGAAGGGTCCCAGGTTCGATTCCGGTCAGGGGCATGTACATCGGTTGCGGGCACATCCCCGGTAGGGGGTGTGCAGGAGGCAGCTGGTCGTGTTTCTCTCTCATTGACATTTCTGGCTCTCTGTCTCTCTCCCTTCCTCTCTGTAAAAAATCAATAAAATATATATTTTTTTAAAAATTCTCCCTTGTAGTTATAGATCAAACTTTGAAATAATGATTTCAAAGATTCCTGTGCCCTTTATCTAGGTTTCCACACTCCTATCTTTGTCAATCAGACTTGATTTTTTTATACTCTAAACCAGCTGTTGATTCTATGATGTAGTGTAAGGTTGTAGTTAAGAAGGTAAGTTCTTCTCTGTCTAGTGTGGTTCAGTGGTTAGAGTGTTGGCCTGTGGACCCAAGGGTCACGGGTTCAATTCTTGGTCAAAGGCATATACCTCCGTTGCAGATTCCTCAGTCCCATAGGGACCTTTGTGGGAGGCAGCCAATCAATGTGTCTCTCTCACACTGATGTTTCTCTTTCTCTCTCCCCCTTTCTTCCTCCTCCCCCCTGGTCCTATCCTGGGCTCCACCTCTGACTCAACATGAAATCCAGGGCAACTTATGTACCTCTTCTTCCAAGCCTCCATTTTCTCATCTGTAAAATGGTGGCATTGTTAATGCCCACCATGTATGAATAAACATGAGCTCTTGTGATGACAAAGCACAGAGATCTCAGAAGGTTACATCTACACAAAGCAAATCCACCCCTCACAGAAAGGATCATGGGGTCCCCACAGCCTTCTCAGAGCAGAAATAAAGTCTTGTGGCCCTAAGTCTAAGTCTCCATTCTCTCCCAATATGGCATAGAGCAGCCCCTTTCCTGGTGTCCTGAAAATCTGAAAAAAATGTGAGATGGCATCACTCTGTTCAAAGAAACCACTAACAGGATAGTACTAAAACAGCAGAATCTGGCCAATAAAAACTCAAAACAGACACTATTTTCAGTCATGTATAAATAAGCTCTGACGTACAAAGTAGAGGAACAAATTGTTCTGTTTTGATGAATTCCAGAAAGGCACAAGCCTTCTTTATGTTCAGGAATAAAAATAGTAATAATAATTACCCAAATTTGTATCACCAATTTTGAAACACATCCCTCCAGCTTATTACTGGCTTTCATGGCACAAGTCAGAACCCAATCTAAGCAGATGGACTCTGGGATTTCTGTAATTCCTGTGCTTTACACGGCAGAGGTGCTTTTGGGAAAGTCATTGTCAGAAGAAATCATATGCAGACATTTAATGGAACCCAAGATGTGTCCTTTGGTAAAGTAACAAGATATTTTAAAAATGAATAACTGCTTAGTAATTGATATTTATTTAGTATATGTTTCTGAAGCTTTTAATTTACTCAAAGTAGGAGTATATGCCACTAAATACATATGATCTTATAGCTATGATCAACCTGTACATAAGCTCTCACAAAGTAATTCAAGTCTTAACGAGGTACTTTGTAAAGTCAAAATGAGCATACGGATGAAATGGGTGAGCCATCAACTGTCTTCTGGCAGCTTCTACCCCATCCCCAAAACGCATATGCACATTCCTTTGCACTTTTCTTAAATCCAAGCATGACCTGAGACCACTCACATCAAGATCCTTGGAGTTCTTGCCTCAGCTGCCTCGGACAGACATTTCTCCATCAGATTTCTCACAGGGCAAATCTAAAAATCCCAACAAAATATCTGGCTTCCTGTAAACTTGCACAACATGCCAGCTCCTTTACAGACACATCCCAGAGAGGTAGGAGAACATACTGGCGAGCCCTCCTCAGAGATTTACTGAAATCTTAGGACCCTCAATAGGAGAGCTCCCTTCTATGCAAACCTGATAATTCCCAAACATGTGAAAAAACTTTTTCCCTTAGAATCGCAGAACATCAGCACCGGAAGGGCCACTGGAAGTCACCTAGTATGACTCCCCTCCCCCCCACCATTATTTTGCCATTTTTTAAAGACCATGCTCATTACATAAAAGATTAGAGCTGCAGTGTAAAAGAAGTGTGCAATAAAATATTAACTATGAAAAATAACAAAAGGCTAAGATCTGGGATAATAAAAGAACAGAAGGTCAAAACAAGGAAGGAAAATGGTATCAAGATATCAAGCCAGGAGTCCTGCAGAGATCCTTAAAGCTTTGAATTGGACTTGGGTTTCCTGGCAGCAGAATTGGAGAGGAAAACATACTGGCAAGCTGAGTCTTGTCTCTCATGTGGAAGCACAAGAGACTCTCACTGTCAGGGTAGGAAACAGACCCGGGGAAGTAAAGGGACCCTCTGGCGAGAGCTAAGACAGAAACACCACCCTCCCAATTCCCAGACTAGAGTCGATCCTTGTGTCATTCTACTTCAAATGTGGGAGGCCTCTACTCACAGAAGCTTCCAGTCTTTTGTGAACTCTTTACTTGTTCTTTAAGAATCAGCAAAAAGCTTAGAATCAGCATATTCTGAAAGCCTCGCCTGCTCTGCAGCTGCGGATTGGCCCAGCTCAGCCTCCCAGGAGAACTACCCCCTCAATTCTGCTCTTTCTCCCCACTTAGTCAGGGGCTCTGCAGAGAGGGGACACAACCAACATACTCATGGTTGCAGAGCTCACCAGAATTCCCTCCTTCCTGTTTCAGGCCTTTGATAAGGTCTTCAGGCAACTTCACTCCAATAGTTCTTCTGTGTTCTCAGTTAAAACTAGTGCCTTGCTTACAGCCAATGAGCTCCTCTGACAATTTTTGGGATAGTCAGCGGCAAATCTAACAGGCAGTCTTAATTTCCAGTGTCTTATCTTTCCTACCTTTTTTGTCATCAGAAACAGACTGGGAAGCTGCTGCTGCTATACCTGAACCCACTTAGCCATGGTCATGTTAATATCCTGCATCATTTTTTTAAAACTCTATTTTGAGATCTTTCTGTTTCCCGCCTGCCACATTGAATGATGTTGGCCATTCTTAATATGGCCAACATCATAGTGGAATCCCTCACTCAGTTTAAACTAGTGCCTTGCTTACAGCCAATGAGCTCCTCTGACAATTTTTGGGAAAGTCAGCGGCAAATCTAGCTTCTCTCATAGTGGAATCCCTCACTCTCAGAGCTATTGTCCTTGGCATCACCAAGCAAGGCGAAATGGCCCGCTTAGAGGAGACATTTGTTCTTCCAAGGCCCCAGGCATCCCTCACGAGGGAGGAAACAGAGGCTCTGGCTTCTAGCCCTTCTAACACATCTTCAATCCAGGCTTAAGAAATGAGATATTTTGGGGATAACCATTTGATGTTATGAAGCAATAGAAAATCTATTTTTTTTTAAAACTTTCTGTTCTCCATTTCACTGAGAAATGGCTACAGAGGGTGATCCCCTTGCTTTTAAAGGATGTGGTAAGAGATGAAGAGCAAGGGACCACTAAGTTTGACGAGAGAACACTATTCTCACTCCCTGAAAGTGAAAAGCCTGGAAGGAAGGTCCCCTCATCTTCTGCGAGGACCTCTCAGGCTGCCCCAGGGGGATGGAAAGGAGGTTAGCACTGGAGCACAAGTGGAAGGAAGAAGTGCGCGGGGCTCCCCCTTGTGGCCATCGATGGTGAGGCGCACTGACAGTGGCACCAGCAGGAGATTCACAGGGAGGAAGAAATTTTATCTGTAAGGTTTTTGTGTACAAACAAGGTCACAAAAAAAGAGAGAATCCAAGACTTCCTCAAACCAGGCATTCTAACAAGCTTCAGTCTACAATCCTGGTCTCCGGGATTCAGCTTCATAATTGCTGCCCTGCACCCCCATCCTCTAAGAAGGACAGACAGCGTGGTAGTTCACAATGGGAGTGCTGATGTCCTTGCAGGAGGAGGAAAAAGGCAGGATGGAGTTAGTACTGTTTTTAAAAAATATATTTTTATTGATTTCAGAGAGGAAGGAAGAAAGAGGGAGAAACATATAGAAACATCAATGATAAGAGAGAATCATTGATCAGCTGCCTCTTGCATACTCCTACTGAGGGTCAAGCCCACAACCTGGGCATGTGCCCTTGACCAGAATTGAACCCAGGACTCTTCAGCCCGCAGGCTGACACTCTATCCACTGAGCAAAACTAGTCAGAGCTGGAAATCGTTCTTAAGAAGCAGAACCTCTGCTCCTTCCCTCCCCCCTACACACACCCCCAAAAGACACAAAGCTGCTTGCCAATAAGCCAGCAATTCAGACCCTTATCCAAAAGCAACCAAAGGTAAAGTACTCAACCCCAGAGCAGAAGTCTTTTGAGTTCATAAAAGATAAGGCGAGATTCTCAAGTTTTTGAATTTCAGGGCCTTGCTACATTGATATACAGCTGAAGTTGAACGAATGACAATGAACCAATTCCCTATAAAACAAACCAAGGGTGTAGAACAGAGTATAGATGAAATCATTTGTCCTTTACAAAGAAACCTTGGAAATAGTGTCTGGTAGAACATGCCCCATCTTGCTGCTCATCACTGTGAAGATTCAGAAGGCATCTTGCCAATTAAAGGACCACCCTGAAAATTCTATCCTGGAATCCTTTTAATGGGCTTAATTCTTTTGCCAAAATTTATTTGTAAGATGGTAAGGGGGTTGGAGCTAGCAAAGCAATGCTTGACAAGTCAAACATCTTTAATGTGATGGATGATGGATGAAAAGATAAATGAATATTGATCAAAACTCTGCATTGAGGGGGTGGAAGGCCTCCTGTGTATGAAAACTATGGAAGAAATCAAAACAGAAAAGATTATGGCACCATATTTTTTAATGTTATAGTTCTATGCATACAGAAAAAGAGAAGTCAAATTAAAAGTTATAGCAAAAGAAAAACAAAAGTGTCTTAAAAACAAGCCAATATATTTTACCTATGAGATACTCTTTTAAAGGAACTTTCACAAATCAGCAAGGAAAACCAGTAAGCCCTTGATAGACAAGCTGGCTAACAGACCATTTTCACACAAAAAGAACACTAAGAGATGGCATACTTTGGGGGAAATATCCCAGTGTGCTAGCAATCAAAGAAATACTCGTTATATCAACAATGAGAAATGGCTCTTTCTCTTTGAAACAGGCACATATCTTTTTATGTGAAGTTTCCCAATAATGAAAAGGGGCTGGAGCAAAGGGTATTTTCTTTTTTCTTTCTTTTTTCCTTCCCCCCCCCCAATATATTTTATTGATTTTTACTGAGAGGAAGGGAGAGGGATAAAGAGTTCAAAACATCGATGAGAGAGAAAGATCGATCAGCTGCTTCCTGCACACCCCCAACTGGGAATGTACCAGCAACCAAGGTACATGCCCTTGACTGGAATCGAACCTGGGACCTTTCAGTCCACAGGCTGACGCTGTATCCACTGAGCCAAACCAGTTTTGGTGCAAAGGGCATTTTCATATCCTGCTCTTTGGGGAGGAGGTAGCATCCTACAGCTCCAGCCTATAAAGTGTTCATGCCCTTTGATCTGATAATGCCATTCCTGGAAATCCGATCTAAGCACATATTCTAAAATAGAGAAAGCACAAGTTAAGATGATGGGTAGCTGAACTTACCTAAGCCAGGTAGAAAGACTAAGTCTATGAAAGCAGAAGGTGTCAGGGTGACCAGGTTAACGACCCTACATCGCTCCTTCCATTGGATCTAACCAGGAGAGGGGCCCCTTTTCCTTTACCTCTTCAAGGTTGCAGAATTCCTCACGAAGGGCTAGCTTCAGATCACAGCATTCTTTCCCGCATCTCAATGCCACCAGACACTCCTTGGTCAAATGTGGGACCTATTGAGAAATCAGCTGACAATCGTATAGGTGCTCCTTTATAGGTAACTACCTGCTTTGCTCTTGCTGCTTTTAATATTCTCTCTTTGTCTTTTGCTCTTGGAATTTTAATTATGATTTGTCTTGGTGTGGTCCTCTTTGGATTCCTTTTGTTTGGAGTTCTGTGCGCTTCCTGAACTTGTAAGTCTAATTCTTTCACCAGGTGGGGGAAGTTTTCTGTCACTATTTCTTTCAGTATGTTTTCGACGGGAATGGCAAGAAATATTCAAGGTGACGAATAGCAAGAACCTACAGCCAAAAATAATCTACCCAGCAAAGCTATCACTCAGAATTGAAGGCCAGATAAAGAGCTTCACTAATAAAAAAAAGCTAAAGGAGTTCATCACCACCAAGCCAGAATTATATGAATTGCTGAAAGGGGTTCTTTCGGAAGAGAAAGTAAATAAAGGTAAAAACTATGAACAACAAATACGTAACTATCAACAAGTGAATCTAAAAACCAAGGGAATTAAAAAAAAGTCTGATGAACAATATTAACTGGTGAATATAATAGAATCAGAGGTATGGAAGGGGAGTGGACTGATGTTTCTCGAGGAAAAGGGGAGAGGAGAGAGTGGGAAGAGACTTAACATAAACTGTGCACCTATGGATAAGGACAATGGGGGGTGGGGAAAGGGCAGTGGGTGGGATGGGAACCTGGTGGAGGGGAGCAATGGGGGGAGAGAATGAGGAACATTTGTAATAATATGAACAATAAAGATTTATTTAAAAAAAAAAAGAAAAAGAAAAAAAAATGTGGGACCTAATCATAGGACACAGGTTTCTTAGTGGAGAAATTGAAGGGAACTCCAAGCTTCTGCTCTGCCTAAAAGCGCAGCCAAAGCTTTGTCCCTTCAGCTTAAGAGGCCAACGCCCACATCCCCGGCTCCCCAATAGGAGTATCACTCTGAGGGGTATCTGTGGGGCCAGCAGTCCATTTGTCATGGCTCCCTGGTAAAACAAGGTGCTTTAAAAAAGTGTTCTCAAGTGCTTCTTCCTCGATCAGCTATTTCCATGCTGTACAATCTTAGGCAGGCACTTAACCTCTCTAAGCCTCAGTGTTCTCATCTAAAAAATGGGTACAGTAATAGTACCCACTTACAAGGGTAGTTGTAAGGGTTGCATGAGTTAACCTTTATAAAGGCAGTTAGAATAGTGCTTGGCACATCATATATGCTCAATATATGTCAGTTATTTTTATTGCATTTCAAAAAGAACCATCTTAAAGTTTCTCCACTCTCCCTCGACTCCCTATTGTCAGCAGGTACACCCTTTTGTCTTCACACTTCCTGGACAGTTGGCACTCTTGCTCTGAAAGAAAGAGTAGTTCTCTTCCATGCATGAATGTTTTTATTCCCCAATATTTTTTTAACCTGAAACTTTAATAATATTCCCTGTAAAAGCATCACCAGTTTTCAGCTCTTTCCATATTCCTATCTTAAGTCACACAGTCAAAACTTTGCCATAATCATACCTCGGGAGACTGCTACTTCCCATGGAAAGCACCTATCAATAAAGACTTTAACCTTTAATTCAGAGGCGATAGCTCTACTATAATCACATACCAGTGATTCTCCTAGGTAAGGCACACGCAGTATCAAAACAGTTTCACGGATGATTGGGCTTTAAACGTGCATTGAAGTTTGGGAAAGACATACAAAGACATAAGAGAGAGTGCAAATGGCTTTTTAAAAAAAAAAAAAATCCACATACCTTATAGAATAGCTCCAATAGCATCTTTTGGCGCGCTCGCTCGTAAGGGTCATATGGATACAGCTTTCTTCCCGGATAAGCATCATCCAGGTACTCACACGCGATCACAGACTCGTAGATCAGCTGACATCTGCTATTTTCCAGGACAGGAATTTGGCCAAAGGGGTGCTTTGTATAGTACCAGTCAGGCTTGTTTCTCAGGTTAATGTTGATAATTTCATGGCTTAAAAAGCAAAGGGAAAACAAGACAACACAGGTGAGAGGCTCACACAGGCAGACACTCATCTTCAAAACAGGAGGAAAGCCAGGGCGCTCCTGATTTTCAACATCCCCCGGTGCCTGCAGGCACTGACTGACCTTCCATCTCTCACCTGATGCCTTTGGCCAGGAGGACCAGGCGCGTTCTGTGCGCAAAGGGGCAGAACCTCATGCTGTAGATTCGGATCAGGCCCTCTGGGACCGGCCCTGGGGGGACACTTCCTGCGGAGCGGGTGAAGGGGACCAAGAGGTGGATTAGGCCACCGGGGAGAGGGGCTCAGTCTCCTCCCTGTGACCTCAAGAGGACTGTGCACACTCTCCTTCGGAGTCCCCAGACTGTATGGACGCTTTTGCACGTGGCTTTTGTGCAGAGGAACCAGTCCAGGCCCTCAGCACCTCGCTGGTCGGGGGGCAAAGGCCCAGCGTCTCCACCCCGCGGAACCAGAGGACTCACCTTTCCCTAAGCTCCTGCTCGCATCCTCGCCCATGGTTGTGGCGCCTCTGCTCAGCGCCCAGCGATCCAAGCCTCGGCTTTGGGGCTCGCCGCCACCGCAGCCGCAGGAGGCCTCGGCGCGCCGCCCCTGCAGCCCGAAATCAAGGTCTAAGGGAATGGAAGGGACTGGGCTCTGGTAGGGCAGCAGGGACGCGATCTGGGACACAGCTAGGTAGGGATAACAAGACTTCGCCCCAGTTCGATGCCGAAACCGGTTTGGCTCAGTGGTAGAGCGTCGGTCTGCGGACTGTAAGTTCCCAGGTTCGATTCCGGTCAGGGGCATGTACATTGGTTGCGGGCACATCCCCAGTAGGAGGTATGCAAGAGGCAGCTGGTTGATGTTTCTCTCTCATAGACGTTTCTGGCTTTCTATCTCCCTCCCTTCCTCTCTGTAAAAAATCAATAAAATATATATAAAAAAAATAAAAAAATAAAAAAAAGACTTCGCCCCAGTTCGATTCCGGTCAAGGGCATGTACCTTGGTTGCGGGCACATCCCCAGTAAGGGGTGTGCAAGAGGCAGCTGATCGATGATTCTCTCTCATCGATGTTTCTAACTCTCTATCCCTCTCTCTTCCTCTGTAAAAAAAAAAAAAAAAAAAAATCAATAAAATATATATATTTTTTAAAAAGACTTCGCCCCAGACTTGGAAGCCCAAGCAGGAGTGTGGGCAAAACAAAACAAACGAGAACCCAGAAAAGTACCCCCTGCTCTGAACACGTGGGTGCAGCATTGGATGGGGTCCCTTGTCCACACCAAGAATCTGTCAAGAGTGAGCATTGAAACGCCCGCATGTATCTCAAGGGAGTTGAACAACTATCAACCCGGGCAACAACACTAAGGTTTTCTTTCCCTGTCTAAGCCCTCCCTCCTGCGTTTCTAAGACAATAGGCCACATTCTCTGTAGGAGCACAAAAACTAAAGGCAAGCTTTTTCATAATATAGCCGATGAGAAGAAAAACGTGTTAGTATGGAGCTCTTGCATACTCATGAGAGTACGTCCTTACATTTTGTTCCCTCACTGGCCTCATTCTAGTTCCAGCCCTATTTGTGAGATTGTACCCAAGCTATGAAAAAATAAACAAAACAAAACTGGTAATGGCCAAGACTGGTTTGGCTCAGTGGATAGAGCGTCAGCCTGTGGACTGAGGGGTCCCAGGTTCGATTCTGGTCAAGGGCATGTGCCTTGGTTGCCAGCACATCCCCAGTAGGGGGTGTGCAGGAGGCACCTGATTGGTGTTTCTAACTCTCTATCCCTCTTCCTTCCTCTCTGTAAAAGATCAATAAAATCTATATATGTATATTTTTTTTAAAAAGAAAAAGAAAAAAACTGGTCATGAATTTGAAACAAGATGCCCAGGGGCAAAGAAAAATTGGTGGGCTCTCCCCATCCCCCAGCATAAATCTTAGAGAAGACCCTTTATAATGGCTAAGGACACATTGTCAACAGCCCAGCAATGCAGGGGTCTCTTGGATCTCTCTTCCATCTACATGAAATCAAGGAGGTCGCTGGCCTTTGTTCTGACCCTAAGAAGCTGGGTGATCCTGAAATTCAGCAGATGGAAAGACAACTTATTTGATTTTACAGGATTGAGCTGAAATAGGAATTCCCCATCAATGCATTTTGGAGGGCTGACTGGTAAAGAAGGAAAGAAGGGCATTCTATGCCTCAGTCATTCTGATTAAATGGTTTCCATGGATTACCTTATTTGATTCCTACAACTACTCAGGTAGGCAACAATTATGATTCCCAGTTTATAAAATACAAAATATCCTTGGGAAAATGAAATTATTTGTCCAAAGTGACCGGCTAGTAGGTTGAAGAACTTTAAAAGTCCAGAGCCTGACTTACTGTCTTGGCCTCTACAGCGGCTAACAGTGTGGAGAGGAAAGGATATGCTAGGAAGTCCGGAAAAGATCTAACATGGAATTGCTGCTCAACAATTGTTAGCTGAATCTAAATATCCTTTATTAAAATGATAGGACCTAATAATGTAGCTTATGATTGGCCACCTTTTGTCCTTTGGAATTCCAATCTATCCAGAAATTCTTGGTTAATAGTGTTAACATTTTTTCTTACTAAATAGGAATCTTTGAAAATCCTTGGAATAGTAACTCAACATTTTTTTGTTGGGCCATGCAGAGTGATTTCATGACAAGTTGCTGTAGATTTATAAGTTTGGGGAATGGCAAAAATGTTCTAATACATTTTCTCTTCAGAGAAATTGCCTATGTGTCAGCAAGAAGTCTGGTTTTGGAAAAGACATTGGTTCTTCACTTGCCATGATGACAATTTTGCATTTTGGAAGGTAAAGTAATAGGATAGCTACTATTCTATAACTAATTTAATCAATAAAGACAAACGGAGTGTGAATAGTTTACATTAGGTTTCAACCAAGGGTTTCCTCTTGGTGAATTTCATATAATTTTCACATGTCATAAATTACAATTCTTCTCTTGATTTTTTTCAACCATTTAAAGAATGAAACTAGATCACCAACTTACACCATACACAAAAATAAACTCAAAATGGATACAGGACTTAAATATCAGACGGGAAACCATAAAAATACTAGAAGCATCCACAGGCAGCAAAATCTCAGACGTATGCCAAAAGAACTTCTTCACTGATACTGCCCCTAGGGCAATGGAAGCTAAAGAGAAAATAAACAAATGGGACTACATCAAAATAAAAAGTTTTTTTACAGCAAAAGAAACCATCAACAAAACAACAAGAAAGCCCACGGTATGGGAGAACATATTTGCAAATAATACCACGGATAAAGGTTTAATCTCCAACATCTACAGACAGCTGATACAACTAAATAAAAGGAAGATGAATGATCCAATTAAAAAATGGGCAATGGACCTAAATAGAATATTTACAAAAGAAGACAGAAAGAAGGCCAAAAGGCACATGAAAACATGCTCAAAGTCACTAATTATCCGAGAGATGCAAATCAAAACAACAATGCGGTACCATCTCACACCTGTCAGAATGGCCAACATCAACAAATCAACAAACGACAAGTGTTGGCGAGGTTGCGGAGAAAAAGGAACCCTCGTGCACTGCTGATGGGAATGCAGACTGGTGCAACCACTGTGGAGAATAGTGTGGAGTTTCCTCAAAAAACTGAGAATGGAACTCCCATTTGACCCAGTAATCCCACTTCTAGGAATATATCCCAAGAAACTAGAAACACCAATCAGAAAGGATATATGCACCCCTATGTTCATAGCAGCACAATCTACAATAGCCAGAATCTGGAAACAGCCTAGGTGCCCGTCAGCTGATGATTGGATCCAAAAACTTTGGTACATCTACACAATGGAATACTATGCTGCCATAAAAAAGAAGGAATTCTCATCATTTGCAGCAACCTGGATAGAATTGGAGAACATCATGCTGAGTGAAATAAGCCAATCAATGAAAGAGAAACACCACATGACCCCACTCATTTGTGGATAATAAAGATCATTATAAACTGATGAACCAAAAGATAGATATAGAGACAGTAAAGCAACAAGCAGATTGTCAAATTATAACGGGGAGGGGAGGAGGGTCTGGGGGAGATAATAAATCAACCCAAGGACTTGTATACATGCATATAAGTACAACCAATGGACATAAAACTCTGGGGAGGGAGGGGATACGTGGGAGGGAAGGAGGGGGGCAAAAAAAATCAATAAAATATGTAAAATAAAAAAAATAAAAAAATAAAAAATAAATAAAATTAAAAAAAATAAATAAAAATGTAAAAACCATTCTTAGTTCTTATGCTGTATAAAACCCAGCAGTGGGCTGGATTTGGCTCTCTGGCCTGAGTTTGCCCATCCTGGAGGAAACTGGCAATGAATGCATTTTTAAGGCACCAAACTGGGAATTCCATTTGCAAAGTAAAAGGTTCCACTTTTCCAGTATGCTAGAGAGAACCTATTTCTAAGATTTCCCCCATCCTTGTTGCCACCTTTTAAAGGAAACCAACTCTGAGAGTTGGTAAATGCTGTTTCTTCAAAGTTTATCTGTGTATGAGAAGTCACATTCTAAAATGTAAGTCTATTTGGTGTAGTTAGAGGAGAATACCATTAGACAAAGCAATGAAAACAATTCTTCCTCTGAAGGGAGGGGGAAAATGTCAAGGTTCTCCATTGGCACTTACACTCAAACCCTGGCTTTGGCACTTAGACAAGCTATCTTTCCCCTTTGACCTTCATCCTTCTCATCTGTGAAATGAGAAGCAGTACCTTCTTGATGGGTTTTGAATATTGAATGAAATCATACAGATGATCCTCAGTATAGTAAGTAGCTAATAATAGTGAATAAGAACACATTTTAAGAGCAATTTTGTATCCATAAAGATGAAATGCACTGGTATTCAGCTTTGCCAAGCATGTTAGAATTAGAATTCAACACTGAATATTTATTTCACCAGTTACCAGTTAAATGGATTGAATGCTGCAGGCTACATTTCAGTAATGTGGTTTTTAATCTTACCGCTGAACACTATAGTTTCCCTGGAAAGAGTTTAATTATGACCTTTGAGCTTATCCCTACTTCCCTTTAAAAACCCAATAGGTACTTCTTTGAAAACTGTCCTTCTATGTAATTATATCATGTTTACACCTCTATTATACGGACTCATTCAAGCAAGAAACACATGGTAACAAGGCCATATTAAACCTACTCCAAATTGGTTTCCAGCTCCCTGAAATATAGTCGGATCTATTTGAAAACGTGGGGATCTTCAGCCATGGGTAATAGAAACTTAAGCCTTCTAGGAAAAGAATGCCACCACAGAAATAATTTACTCTACTTAATGGAATCTCTGTTTTGAGAATAAGAAGTGGACTTTGCATTTTTCAGGTTTTCAAAAAAAAGCAACAGTGTTTTTCTTCTCCTACTCATCTCGAATAGTGGCAAAACCTGGAGGACATTCCTCTTAATACTTCAGAATCCTAATTTACACGAAAGATTACTAGGTGTTCAGATATTGTTCACTGAGCTTGAAGAATGAGATAAGGGAGAAGGGGGAAAAAAAGTTCTATTTTCAAATAGACTTGTTTGAAATAGAATCAGGACTTGTTTCCAGAACTGACCACAAAGCCCTTTTCCTTTCAAATGCAACCCTGGCCAGAACCACTCACCCACCCAGTAGAGGTGGCAGGACCCGCCGGTGGGGCCCGCCCCCCGGAGTGAGCTCCTACCCGCTTACTGGCCCCGGCGCCCAGAGCTCCAGCCAAACCCTCAGTCCTTCAGAAGCGCGCCACCGGGCAGTGCCGCGCCTGGCCAACCGGAGGCTGCGCCACCGGATCCTGGGAACCGAAGTCCTGGTTCCCCACGGGCGTCTGTGACCGGGTAGTGGCTCTCTGTGGCACTTCAGTGCCCGGGTCTGCATCCGACTGAAGTCCGCCCGCAGCCGACCTGAGCCCAGAGTGTGTGGGGCAGGTCGATGGGGGCAGAGACGGGTCGCCCCGAGCTTGGGCGTTGGCTGCGGAAGACCCTTTGTGAAGTCAACCTTTGTCAGCTGCCCGGCAGGGTGCGGGCTCCAGATCGCTTGCATCACAATAGGGTGGGAGGGGGGCGCTCATTTCAAATGTGGCCCATCCCACCCACCCCCAGCAGTGAGCTCTCCGGGGATTGCTAGGTGCTCTTCCGCTTAAGTACAGGAAACCAGACTGTATTGTGGCTGGCCTGTCAACGGCCCCTTAATCCTGACAGTAAGAACAGGGTGCTGGGTGTGTCCTCCAGATATTTCTGCCAGCATCTTAAGGTCTCAATTAACCTCAGGACCTTAGTTGAATGATCTATCGATAGAGTGAAGTGATGCTCTCCAGCCTATCTTCTCCTGGAGGTGATGTGATGATAAACATTAGTGAGAAGACCAATGGGACTGTGGAAGTGTAGGAAGATGGCATTACTACTTCTGAATGGGGATATTACCTGTTACTCCTTCAGCCTTCCATACCGCATTAAGGGGTTTACATAGTGAATGGGTTGTACAACATAATCTCTATGTTGTACACCTGAACTGGGATTTGGTAGGAAGGAGTTGAAGAGGATAGAGATTGGATATTGGAGATCAAATAGGAGGCCACCTAGTCACCTGACTTTGAGGCGATGCAGGTCTGGTCTTCATGGGTGACAATGGCAAGTGAAATTCAGTTTGATGATGGAAAAAATGAGGAACTGAAAATTCTCAATTCAGAACCTCGAAGACAAACTTGAAAGGGCATCTCGTGAAATGGCAGCGGGGTATCCAAGTGGAAATGTTCTAGGAGCGGATAGAAATCTAGATTGAAGTCTAGATCTCAGCAGAGAGGATGACTTAGAGGTTTTCAGCATGGACTCATAGAAACCTTAGTGTCATTTGAGCATCCGGAGCAGGAAACGTGTTTACATTTCTGTAGGAAGGCCTTAAGGAAACCCCACCATTGGGCCATGATGTCAACTCAAAGAAGGCGATCCCCAGAAACATGAGAGCACTTGCTAAGATAAAAGCATGTTTTTATTCCCATTCATGAAGGAAAGTATCAGATATATTTTCATTGTTGACTCCTGCACCCATCAGAGCCCGTAGTCACAGGCCTCCACGCTGTTCTGCACGTAGAGATTTAAGAAACCTTGAAAGGTCTTCCCATCAGTGAGGAGGGCTGACACTGTGGGATCTTTCCGCATAGCTGCCACCCAGAGCTTAAGTTTCGGAGTGTGGTCTATACACCTGTGTGAGAGGGAAAGAATGAAGGTGTGAGCTAGACAAAAGAAGAAGGCATTGCAAAGTCTACATGTCATCACAGCACTCTGCAGGTTCACTTTGTTCTCCTCTCACCTTTTAAAGTAGTTCTTTAAAATGTACATAGTTATAGAATAAGGCATACCTCCTTTTGTTGAGCTTCTCAGATGTTGCATTTTTTACAAACTGAAGGTTTGTGGCAACGAACCTGCATTGAGCAAGTCTGCACTGAGCAAGTCTATTGGCGCAATTCTCCCAAGAGCATTTGTCCAACTCCGTGTCTCCATGCCACGTTTTGGTAATTCTTAGTATATTTCAAACTTTTGCCATTATTTTTATATTTGTTGTGGAGATCTGTGATCACTTATCTTTGATGTTACTAGGGCAAGACCCTCCACTATTTACATATACGTATATAGGTAACCCTGAAGAGCTCTAAGCTCTATGAGGGAGATAGCTAAAGTAGCTGCTAAACTTCAAAATATCGAGCTTGCAAACTAGTATGGAATCTTACTGGTAACTTGGAGGTAGCATTGGTCATATAATTCAGCATGACAGCCTTATTAAAATGTACATCCTTATAGATTAAAAAAATTTCAATTTCAGTTGACATTTAATATTATATTAGTTTTATATGTACAGCATAATGGTTAGACATTTTTATATAACATACATACACAGTGATCCCCAATAAGTCTAGTACCCATCTTACACCATACCTAGGTATTACAACATTACTGACTATATTCCCTATGCTGTGTTTTACATCCCTGAGACTATTTTGTAACTGCTAATTGTGCTTCTTAATACCTTCACCTTTTTCACTCAGCTCCTCCTCCCCAAACCTTCCTTGTGGATTTTTATTAAGAAGAGAAGGAGCCGAGACCAGTTTGGCTCAGTGGTAGAGTGTTGGTCTGCAGACTGAAAGGTCCCAGGTTCGATTCCGGTCAAGGGCATGTACGTTGGTTGCGTGCACATCCCTGGTAGGGGGTGTGCAAGAGGCAGTTGGTGATGTTTCTCTCATCGACATTTTTAGCTCTCTATCTCTCTCCCTTCCTCTCTGTAAAAAATTAATAAAATATATTTTTTAAAAAAGGAGAGAAGGAGTAAGTTATTTTTAAAACATTTTACCACATGTCACAGAACCCGTGATGAGAAGCAGTGGTGCGGTGTAGGTATAAGTCTTCCTCCTGTCTGCCTTTTCCCCATTCATAAAAGTTGTATAAAATATTTTTGTCCAAAAAAAGGTCAACATATACTATTCAAATTATCATTATCCTAAATTATGCACAAAATAGTCAAATGTCTTACTCATTTAACTCCAGTGCTTCCAACCGTTCAAACCAGGGCCAGATGAGGTAATCAATCATAGAAATTGAATTGCCACCAAAGAAGGTTGTCTTCTTATTGGTCAGGACCTGAACATTAAACAGCATAAGAGTACTTCTTATTTCAATATCTAGTGAGATTCATCATCAGAGATGATGCAGGTGAGTTAGTATAATGGTGAGACCAGCAGCTTTTACCCTGGCATATCCAAGTTCTATTTGATCAAATAGTAAAGTTTATGCTTTACTATTAGTTAGTTCAGGATGAAACAAAACAATCAACAAAATAAACTGGAAGTGGAGAAAAATAAAATAAGCAACAGAGTGCAAAATCTTCATAATTCAACATACGACTGGTATTCAGAATGTAGAAAGAACTCTTGGGAATTAAGAAAAAAAGGCAAACCACCTATTTAAAAAATTGGGCAAGACTTACACTTCACAATTAAAGGATGTCCAAATGGCCTATAACCATTTGAAAAGATAGTCAACTACATTAGTTATCAGGGAAATGTAAATTAGAACCAAAATGTAATACCACTATACATCCATCAGAATGGCTAAACTGACAAGACAAAGTTAGCTAAGGTGATAAGAATGTAAGTTGGTACAACCATGTTTTAATAGTATCTACTAAAGCTGAGTGCATGCATACTTTTAACTACTTGGAAATGTGAACATATATTCCCCAAAGAATGTTCACTGCAGCACTAATTGTAATAGCCTCAAAATGGAAATGTTTTCTGCTCACAAAAAGTAAAAAAGATATTTAAAAAAACTGTGATACAGCCATATGCTAGAACTACAAAAAAAATAGGAATGACCTACACACAACACAGATGAATTTCACAAACCTAATACTGTATGACATAAGCAAGTCCCAAAAAAGTGCATATTATATGAGTCCATTTATATAACAAAAAATAGCAAAAATGAATATTCTGTGTTTTGCTATAGGTGCTGGTTCTATGGCTATGCTCCCTATGTAAAAATTCATCAAGCTGGACTCTTATGTTTTGGGTACTTCTCTGCATATAATTCTTCAATAAAACAATTTACTTAAAATATGCTGGGTATAACTAGTTTAACAATTAACTATTAAATAAAATTATTTGAAAACCAAGCATAAACTATGTATTCGAAATTCAAGAAGGTAAATTGATATTACGGTTTTGTCAAAGGGAGGAATTCAGAATATTATTTGATTAATCAACGTGAAACCAACTTAGCCCTTTATAAGACTTCTATAGTTGTTTTTTTTTTCAGTATAACAGTCTACACTGTAAACTGATTGTTTAAATCTACCTGAAGTATTTGGAATGTCTGAAGGTCAAGAGGAAGACTCAATCTAAGGCCCAAAATGACAGCTCTCCCCCAGAGGAGGTAAAACACATATAGCTTTGCCAAGTGTCTGTACGATTCATGGCAAACTCTTTGTGGTGGGAAATGTTTATTATATAATACTATGTAAAACAACACAGAATGGTATTTATGCTCTGATTACATCTATGTTAATCTTTTATTTTTATTTTTATTTATTTTTTTTTAATCTATGGACAGGGACTGGAAGCAGCATGGGGGAAAAAAGAAAACAGGTGACTCATTATAGAAATATTGGTGAACTTCCTTTTTTCTATGTTATTTTAACATAGATGCAACAAAACATTTTAAAAGCCCATGACAAAATATTTTTAGGTGTTTTGGTTTATATCTTAAATGCACAGCTTATGTCAATCTGTTATCAAGTAAAATTTCTTACTTGGTATTATTACTGACTGCTATAAAGTGGTATGGGGAATGAGGATATGAAGAAAAGAGAGCAGAAAGAAGTGGGGAGGTGTAGTGTATCATTTACTTTGATAAAAGCCAAGAGTCGCGATTGATTACCTCCTCAAGCTTGCTGAATTCTTGGCGAAATTCTTCTTTTATGCCAGAGCGGTCTTCCTTAGTTTTGCTTCTTATAAACCTTCCAACTAAAGGTGGCACCTAGACAGAGAATAATTGCCTAGTTTATTGGTGGGAGACTAAGTATACCAGCCTCACATAAAAACACAACAGAATCCAGTGTCAGAGTGTTCTAGAAACTTCAAGGGTACACCCATTCCTGTGTTCACAGAGGTCATATACTGATCTTAAAAACAGTTTTGTGGCCAGAGATGCTATATTAAACAGGACTTTGTAAGTTGCAAATAAAAGAACGCACTTTGGAGTTTGAGCCAAAAACATCTGTAAAGGACACTAAGTGTTGAATTGAATCCTTGGGAGGCTGAACAAACAGGCTTGCAGCTAAGCTGGAACATTCCAAAAATCATGCCCAAACTTGTCTGCAGAAAGCAAACCACTGTGACCTGTGAGCTGAAACTAGAGGTTACAGTTTGTGCCGCTGCCAGCAGCGACTCTGAGATAACCAATGCCACTAGCACAAAGCCCGTAGCTGCTCTGGAAAGTAAACTCCCAACCAGCATGGCTCCTGAAATCCAGAAGCTCTGCTACCAGCCACTCTCACCAACAGCACCAGTGCCTCACCCCAACCCATTTCCTCACACTGATCATTTCTGAATTGAACTCTACCATGTGTTCTGACAGGGAGAACCTTCTTCCCAGCCCTTGTCCACAGCTGCAAAGGGAGCTTGAGAAAGAAAATCTTTCTGATTTCTACCTTGGGGAGGACATGAGAAGACTGTTCAAAAGGGACTGACTACCTGAAGACCTGACAGGTGTAGTGTCACACGCTTTAAGGCTTGTGGTGAAGGTGTTTGTTGTGTGTTTTAATCCTTCAGTCTTTGGTATCATCTCATTGCAAAAGACAGAAGTCTACTCATCCCAGTTTAAGTACACAGGTACTCATAAAAATTCAGGAGACTCCCCTGCAATCCCATCCATGTCAGTACAACTTCCCCCATTGGAGCTGAAAGTTTGCAGGCAGCCCTTCCATCCACATTTCCTACCTGTTCATTCCTCTTATTCTTAAATATCTGTTCCACATTATTTTCCTCATACAGTTTCCTTTGCAGTGTTTTTAATTTCCACTTTTCCAAAAATGTATTTTTTATGTGGTCTCTCTCTCTCTCTCTCTCTCTCTCAGCTTCCCCACTTTGACTGTCTTAGTCCCATAGAAGAACTGTATTTTAATTACTAGCAATGTTGTAGATTAATTCAAGCAGTTAGTGTTCACTAAGACATGACCGATAGTAGACAACAAGAATAGCAATGTCAGGTTATATAACCTTCTAGGGGACTGCCATTTACTCAGTCAGTTGTGGGTTACTGCCAGCACAAGCTCACTGCTAGACACGGGCTAGAACAAGAACTAACACTGAGATTTACCATGTGTTGGACTCTGCCCTCCATGTTTTCGATTAACTGATTTTCTCTATGAGGAGGACATAATTACACTCATTCAGCAAATAATGACTTGAGACACAGAGGTAAAAAGCAATACTAAGTAACTTAGCAAGTTAAACAACTTGGACGGGGCAGAACGGATCACAAACCTGCAGTGAGTCAACAGTAACGGGAACACGGCCCTCACCCTCAAGGAGCTCACACCCTGGTACCACTCACAGGCTTACGGCAGGCAGGCAGCAACAAGGAAATGTTAGTACTTGTGGGAACACAGAGCTGAGTGCTCACACGGTCTGGCAAGCTTCTGGAAGGCAGCGACATCTGAGCAAATGCATGAAACAGAATGTGGAGAAAACCAGGCAAAGTGAGAAGGGGGAAGGGTCTTCCTGCAAGAGTTGATAAGGTGGTGAGTTTGGGAAACTGAAACATTCAGTATGGCTGGACTATAGTGTTTCCGAAGAGGGATAACTTTGTAGAGGTAAACAGGAACCAATCAAGAAAGGACTTACAAAGAGTTTAATTTTGTTTCGTTTTCCTTTTCCAAATGACTGAACCATACATGACCACTGATGTAGCTTTAAAAAAAAAGTGTTTTGTGTTTTTTTTTTCAAATAGGAACTGAAATTTCTTATATACACACCTTAGAAAATAACTCAAAGACCATCTTTTGGCACGCTTTCTCATAGGGGTCAGCTGGCAGCAGCCTCTTCTCTGGATATGCTTCATCCAGGTACTCACAAGTGATGGCAGATTCGCAGATCAGTTGGCCCTGGTTGTTTTCCAGAACTGGCACCAGGCCAGCGGGATTCTTCTTAAAGAACCACTCGGGCTTATTTTTCAGGTTGATGTTGATGACTTCGTGCCTGAAAGACACAATAGAAGACAATGGAGAGAATGAAACATGTTTGTTCTTCTGAAAATCCTCACTGGATCCTACCATCCACTTAGCTGACCAGACCCCAAATGTAGGAGTCCACTCAGCCTTGATTTCTTTCCCTTTGCCCCCGTTCCTCAAGTCAAATGGTCAGTTAGACCTCCAAATCACACTGGCTTTATCCATTCATAGCTTTATCGCATCCAAAATATCATCTGCCACCTGGACCTCTGCAACAGTTCCCTCCCAGCCTCTCAGCTTCCACCATGGCCTCCCTACTCTCCATTCTGCACACACGGCCAGGTGAAGCGCTGACAAAATTAGATCAGGTCACTCTCCTGCTTACAACCTTCCGACTGCTACTCAGAACAGAGGATAAACCCTGAATGCTTTCTATGACATGCAGGGCACATCACATCTGGTCCCTGCTTACTTGTCACACCTGTTTCCCACGACTTTCCCTTGGTCATTCTGATCTGGCCCCATCGGCCTTTCTTATATTCCCTGATTTGGCCAAACATGTTCCCATCTTAGAGCCTTTGCACTTACTGGCCCTCTGCCTTCTCCGCCTGTCTTCCCAAGTCAAACATCCAATGTGCAGAGAGACCCTCCCTGACCACCCATTCTGAAGCTGCCGAGAGCCTCCATTACACGATCATCTTGTTTTACTTTCTTTATTAAACTGATACGGATCTGAAATCACTTTGGCCATTTATTTACCCATTATGTCAGTTATCTAGAATGTAAGCTCCATGGAAGCAAGGATCTTATATTTCTTGTTCATACACATACACCAACATCTTCTTATTGTTGTTAATCTTTATCTGAGGATATTTTTCCATTGATTTTTTTTTTTTTTTGAGAAAGTTGAAGGGAGGTGGAGAGACAGAGAGAGAAACATCGATGTGAGAGAGACATATCGATTGGTTGTCCCCTGCACATGCCCCAATCAGGGCCTGGGTCAAGCCTGCAACCGAGGTATGTACCCTTGACCAGCATTGAACCTGGGACCCTTCAGTCGCTGGGCTGATGCTCTATCCTCTGAGCCAAACCAACTAGGGCTACACCAACACCTCTGTAGAACAGCACTTAGTTTAAGGGTTTAAATATGTAATCACCCATGAAACACGTCTCTGCGTGTATTAAAAGATTCATGTGTTGCCGAAACCGGTTTGGCTCAATGGATAGAGCGTCGGCTTGGGGACTGAAAGGTCCGGGGTTCGATTCCGGTCAAGGGCATATACCTTGGTTGCGAGCATATCCCCAGTAGGGGGTGTGCAAGAGGCAGCTCATCGATGAATCTCATCATCGATGTTTCTAACTCTCTATCTCTCTCCCTTCCTCTCTGTACAAAAGCAATAAAATATATTAAAAATAAATAAATAAATAAATAAATAAATAAATAAATAAATAAAAGATTCATACGTTGAGATAACATTGGACACTCAGATCGGAGCCAGTGCAAGAAATTATCAACACTTCTGAAACAGTATACTATCACAACAAAAGGTAGATCCTAGGCTTGTGTAATAAAGAAGGTTCTCAGAACACACGGATTAGGTGGTTACCTGGTATCATGAATCAAGTCACAAGTTAGAAGGTTTATCTTATAAAGAAAACCATGCTTTGTTAGGTTATACCATGTGGTAAAAACCTAGTACCTCTCTGATAGTCTCCTGGGACTCAAAACTGACCCATGAATGTAGCAGGCCTCTGCTGTCTGCACTATCTGGCAGCTGTCACCATTCTTCACCCCCCCCCCCCCCATACACACCTATTACACTAAAATCATTTCAATTTTCCTTTGGAAAATGCCCGGTAAGTAAGGTAGGGCTGTTTTCAACCTGAAGTTAGAGAAGGACACATAACCCAGGATTTGATGCCCTGAATTCAGCTGCATCTTGCTCTTGAACTTTTCAATTATATGAGTACGATATATGCCTTTTATCGTCCAATTTGAATTAGTTCTCTTACTTGCAATAAAATAATTCTGACTAATACAAAAACATTATAGTGTTTTGATAAAATACAGTGTTTTGGATAAATGTTACTAAATGTTGAATATTTTGCTATGTGTTCAGGATCAATTTCATTCAAATAAGATGCCAATCTTAGTGAAGTGAGGGCTAATCCATAAATAATTCTGGTGGTGGTTTTCTTTTTCTCTCCTTTAGAATGCATCTTATATTTCTTTTAGGGAAAGGAATTGCTGCCTAATCCTCCCCTCTCCCCCAAAAGACTAAAATCTATAATAATAAAAGTGTAATGTGCTAATTAGACTGGATGACTTTCCGGAGGAAGCCAGGGCTGTGAGGGAAACCCAGGTCCGGGTGCCAGAGGGAAGCGGGTGCTGGCAGCCGGGGGAAGGAAGGCCTACTCTTGCACAAATTTCATGCATTTGGTTCATTAATAAATCTTAAGCACATACATGGAAAATTTCTTAAGAATGGGGGCTACGTTTTAAACTTCCACATCATAGGTATCTATCGTCTGTTCCACAGATTCCAAAGGTCATTGGAATGGGGTAGTTCCAATGGATCTTTGGTGTTGATAGAGAAAGGTCAAATGAATCTGCATAATTGGAACTGGCCTGGCCTCATTGGAACTGGCCTGGCTCCTGACCAGTCAGGAGCCAGGCCAGTTCCAATGAGGCTTCGCAAAAGACCCAACTGTACTGTACTGTACATTTTCCTGTAGTTAACTCTACACCCTGCCAGGAAAGTGAAGCTCTGAACTCTGTACTGGGGCTCATTTATCGACTATTTAGTAAGGAACGATATACTCAGAATAATAGTCAGCAATACCAGATAAGCCGGACATGCATGGAGAAATCTGGTGAAAGTGCAAGGGCAGCTGACCAGGAATCGGGGATCTACCAGAACTGAAAGAGCCGCTGCCTGTCACTCCCTTAACCGGAGCCCATCTTTCTGACCATAAAGTGGGTAGGTTCCTCTCAATGGAGTGCCCTAGACCGCTGGATCTATGGCATTTCTGCCTCCCCAGGGAGAGGGCCCATCCCTAGCCATGCCCTCCCCAAAAAGGCCGAGAATACTCATTTCATTTTTAGTAAAGGAAGCCCCAGGGGCCCTAGGTTCCCACCCCCGCCGCCCCCAGCTCGCAGCTCCTCCCTCCCGGCCTCCGCTGGGTTCTCACCTGATCCCCTTGGCCTGCAGGACGAGGCGCGTCCTCTGGGCGAACGGGCAGAACCTCATGCTGTAGACGCGGATCAGGCCCTGGGGGACCGGCCCCGGGGGCGCGCTCCCTGCAGGGGACAAGCGGGGCAGTTACGCGGCTGGGAAAGCGGCCAGGACCCCCAGCCTCCTCCATCTCCCCTGGGGCCCGACCCATCTCCTCCGGGAGGAGACCCTGCGGGAGAGTTCGGCTCCGGATCAGCGCCCCGGGACCGACATCGGGGGTCGCCCAGAGCCCCACCTCCCGCGGCGGCCGGGCCTCACCCTTGTCCAGGCTCTTGGCTGACCCGGCGGACATCGTGGCGCGGCGCAGGCTGAGTGGAGCCTGGGTTTGCAGACGATTCAGGAAGTGCAGGCCGCGCCCTCCCTCCGGTCTCCCCGGCTCGCTGTCCGCTAAGTGCGAACTGGGGGCGGCGCTTCCGGGGCGCCCGGAGCGGACCCGGGGCGGCGAGAGCGCCGGGCTCCTGCCCACCCTGTGCGGGGGGACCGCGGCGCCCCTCCCAGGGCAGCCTTCCGGGGTTTGTGGGGATCGTGCTTAAATCTCTGAGCCCAGAGATCAACCAAAGGACTTATCTGCATGCATATACGCCTAATCAAAGGACACAGACAATAGGAGAGTAGGGGCATAAATGGGAGGTGGAGGGCGGAGGGGAGGGATATAAGGGAAATAAGGACACAAATGCAATATCTTAATCAATAAAGAAATCAATCAAACAAACAAACAAAACCTGCGCCTGGAGGATGTGCATAACTGTACTGTGTTGGCCCAGGGAAGGGATACGCGCGCGCGCGCGCGCGCGCGCGCACACACACCTCAGAGTCATTCCTTGACCCTGAACGAGGGTGGTCTGTTGTCTGCCCTCCTCTCCCCTCCCCCCAGAGTCCACACCCCTGCTGGGGAGCCCTCCTCCTCCGTGTCACGGGCCTGGTCATAGCTCCCTCTCCGCTCCAAGGCTTCCCCAGCTTCAGGCCTGTGTTCCTGGGCCCAGCGCTCGCTCACCAAAGGTTCCCGTCCACAGCACAGGGACAGGTCGCCCAGCCACCCGGACAGCCTTTTCCTTCTCCTGCCAGCACTAGCTTCCTACCACTCCTGGGATGGCCCCTGTCCCTCCTGTAACTACAGGACATGGCCTCTTAATTTTAACCCAAAAGAAACAGCCCAAATCTGGATCTTACTAACCTCCGATGGTGCTGTTTTCAAAAAATCTATTAAATATTTGGATTTTGAAGCTCTATTAGGGTTCAGAGTCATACAGATGGATGGAGTAAATTCATTCCCACTGGTCTGCTCAAACAACCCCTCTTAGTTTAGGTTTAAGAAAAAGGGATTCCAGTAGAGGGCACAAGGAAAAGGATAGTCAATGTTTGACTTGTCTGCCTAGATTTGAGAGCTGGTGACTCCTGTGCCATTGATTTGCAAAGCAGAAAGGGGTGGTGGTTGGTGTCTGCTTTTATGTTGATTAGCTTTATTATGGGAGAAGCAGAGGGTAGGGGATAAGCACATCTATCTCAGAGCCTTCCTGCCTAAGTTTGATCCTTAATCTAGACCTATATTTATTAGTTTGCCAGGGTTAGGGTAACAAAGTACCACACTCTGAGTGGTTTAAACAACGGAACTGTATTCTCCCAGTTGTGGAAGCTAGAAGTATCCAGGCAAAGACAGGGTGAGTTTCTTCTGAAGATTGTGAGAGACATGTGTTCCAGGCCCCTCCCCTAGCTTCTGGTGGTTTGCTGGCAGCCTTTGGTATTTCCCAGAATGTAGAGTATCACCCCATCAATGCCTTTATCTTCACGTGGCACCCTCCTTGTGTGCATGCCTGCATCCCCATTTCCCCTCCTAATATTGGGTTAGGGGGCCATTCTACCCCAATGTGATTCATCTTAATTGAACTAATTATAACCGAAATGAACCTATTTCCAAATAAGATCACATTCTGAGGCCCTGGGAATTAGAGCTTCAACACAAGAATTTATGAGTTTGTAATTCAATATATGAATTTTTTATGAAACCATAGTAGTTGTAGTAACCCCTTATTAACCACCGTGTGACTACAAACAAGTTCCCTCTGTGTTTCACTTCCCTCACCTGTAAATTAAGGTGGCAAACACCTAATAGCTCCTTTATAAAAGTTGAAGAATGATTAAATTAGGGAATACTAGAAAGCACTTTAAGCAGTTCTTGGCACAGAATAAGTGTGACATAAATAAATGCTTGTTATTATTGCTGAAACTCAGTGAAAACAAGTTGGCTACATTTTTGCTGAAGCATGGATGTGGCTTAACTCTTTTTCAGAAAAGTAACTTTTTAGAAGGTCTTTTAGCATATTGATATATCATTCAAATTAATGTAAATTTAAACTTGGACAGGCAACACCTCTAACTGGCCAAACTAAAAATTTCATGTCAAGGTATATCTTGAGGACTTTTACTTGAAATGGTCTGTCCCCTAATTCGTATGAACAGTGTATAATGTTTTATTTTAATGATTTGAAACATCCAATTCATCAATAAAGTAAAACGTTAATTCCTCAAAGAAATAAAATGAAAAAGAAAATATACATCCCAGGAAACAACTGTTCTGTTAGCAACACTCTGCATTATAGAGAATCATCTCCAAGTCCTTGGTGGATATGTGCATGATATGTGAACATCTGGATACACACTGCTGTTAGCCACAGGGAAAAACATAGTATTTCACTTTTTTTTTTTTTTTTGCTTGCAGCTGTAATTGTCAATAATTATCCTGAGTGGGCTAATCTCAACTGATTCTGCTGGTTAAAGACTAAGAGTTAGAGGTCCTGTTGGCCAAAATGGCTCAGTGGATGAATATGGACCTATGAACAGGAGGTCACAGTTTGATTCCTGGTCAGGGCACATGCCCAGGTGGTAAGCTTGATCCTCAATAGAGGGCATCCAGGAGGTGTACAGGAGGCAGCTGATCAAGGATTCTCTCATTGTTGATGTTTCTATATATCTCTCTCTCTCTCTTCTTTACTCTCTGAAATCAATGGAATAAAATATATATATTTTAAAAGTTAAAGGTTCTAGTGATAAGAAATAGTTTTCTACCTTCTAAATACCATCTCTCTTTCCTGACAATATACACCCACTTGATAGACTTTTCAGAAATATTACTTGAATAATTTTATACTCTTTAATCTATAATAATAAAAGCATAATATACAAATCGACCAAACAGATGAACAATGGAACAACTGTCCAGATGACCTTCCTGACGACCTTCCAGAAGACCTTCAGATAAAGCCGAAAGGGCCAGGCTCCTCGCATGAATATCATGCAGCAGGCCTCTAGTATATAATACATTTATATATATAAAGTATTTTATAGAGTAAGTTAGGAATATTGAAAGTCACATGAAGTGTTTCACTGTTATTATTTTAATTAATTATATTTAAAATATCTTTTTTTAAAATTAGGGGCACTTATCTTGTGAATATGAATGTTACTTTAAAAATTAACATCCCATGACAGTCCATAGTAGGGAGAAATAGCTTTCATAAAATAGATTTCATGGAAAGATCCTGACTGGAATGATTGAGTGAAAGTATTATGGGGCCTAGAGTGAGATCAAATGAAGAAAAAAAAACTATTATAATCCTCACAATAAGAAGCTATACAGAAATAAATAGTCCATAAAGAAAGGAGCTTGAATAGCAAAAAATATATATAGGTGAATATTAAAACTGCATTGAGAGTAGAATGGATAAATAAATTGTGGTCTATTCATACAATGAACAACGATCCAGCAATGAAAACTAATAAACTACAGCTACAGCTATCAAAATAAATGTATCTCAAAAACCTAAGATTGAGTAATAAAAACAATATATATGACTACATAAATTAACTTTAAGAACATGCAAAATGAAACAGCGTATCAGTTATGGCACATACATATGTGGTAGAGTTAAAAAGCAAGAAGCAATAAACAGAATTCAGAAAAGTTTTTACTTCTAGGGGAAGAAAAAGAAAAACTAAGGGGGGGTTGTATGGGGGGATTGCTTCCCTGGTATTAATTTCCATTCCTTAAGCTGGAAGGTGGCCTCTGGAATTCAGGTAGGAAAGAATGAGGTGAGAAAAAAAAATGTTGTCATTTGAAAACCTTCCTGTGGAATTTAAGTTTTTACTATATACTATATGGAGGGGGGTGTGATTTATGGAACAGATTTCTAAAAGAAAAACAACAAAAACCCTAACTACTGTTAAAAGAGATGAAGTAGATAGATAGATAGATAGATAGATAGATAGATAGATAGATAGATAGATATAAATATATATATATGCAGAAATATGTCCAAGATATGAAAATGTAGAAAAATAGCATAGAGGAGATAATTTCACTGGTGAATGCAAATTGCACATCTGCTAAGCATTCTATATGAATGAAATGTCAGAGAGACGGTGGCAAGACAAGAAGGAGGGACTTAAAGAAGGAGGGGGCAGGGTAAAGGAGAGGACTGGAGGGGAGGGAGGAAGGAGAAAGAACCGGGGAAATGGCTAGGAAGGATGGAAATGGCTAGGGAAAGGGAAGGGACGAAGCTTATTTTAAGTAGTAGAGGGTACATTTGAAAGTGTAACATAGCAATGAAAGGCTTGGAGCTCACGGAAACCGGTTTGGCTCAGTGGACAGAGCTTCGACCTGCGGAATGAAAGGTCCCAGGTTCAATTCTGGTCAAGGGCATGTACCTTGGTTGCGGGCACATCCCCAGTAGGGGGTGTGCAAGAGGCAGCTGGTCAATGTTTCTCTCTCATCGATGTTTCTAGCTCTCTCTCCCTCTCCCTCTCTGTAAAAAATCAATAAAATATGTTTAAAAAAAAAAAAAAGAAAAGAAAAGAAAGAGAAAGGCTTGGAGCTCTAAATTTACACTAGACCTTGCTTTAAAATCCACTCCGTTTTTGCAGCTTCGGGCAAGTTACTTTTCTTATCCTCACTTTCCTTATCTGTAAAATGGGGCTGATGGGGAGTTGAGGATTAAATGAAATAATGCCTTCATGGAGCTTGAAATGTCTGGCTCGGCAGCATTCAATATTAATTTATCCCATTGATATTCATTAATATTGTAGTTATTATAATATTAATAATTACATAATATACAGTTATGTAATTGTATATTACGTACATAATTGGTAATGTGTGGGGCCCCTGCAGCATTCACTCCGAGAGGCCCGCCCCTCGCTTCGCTTGCCGCTCGCCTATTGGCTGACACGCTGCAGCGCTTTCACCAATGCGAGCGGCTCTAGAAGGAGAAGCCGAAGGGGCAGAGCCAATGGGCGCAG